TGGCAGCAGAGAGAATAGTCTGAAAGATCAAAGAAATTGTGCTATGGCGTCAAAGGTTAGGTAATGTTTCCTGATGCGGGTCTTAGTCATATGATGACTCACAGCTGGAGCTTTTGGTCATCTGACCGAGGCCTTCCGCTGGCTTACCCCTCCACCCCCTTTAAAAATTATGGTTACACATTTTTGGCATCAAAGTGAGGGGATAATTATTATAATAATCACAATGAAGCGCTAAACCTACAAGGGTTATGCAGGGCAGGTGAAGGGATAAATATTTACATTTGTGAGCCCTCTTCCAACAGCAACATAAATAAAAAAATATATAGACTTTATTTCCACGTGAAACAACACTCAGCTAAATAACAAAAAGGCACAATACCGTGACTGGAACGATACACAAATAACCCGCACATAAAAGAGAGAAGCTTACGACGACGTTTCGGTCCGACTTGGACCATTGACAAAATTAATGAAATTAATTAATGAAATTGATGAAATTAAGACACATGTGCGGCGTCTGGTTGTCTTCGTTGTGGACGTTTCGCCATCCAGTGGCTGGCTGGATGGCGAAGCGTCTATGATAGGGATGCCCGGGTGTTGTGCATGTGTCTTAATTTCATCTTGTCGGTATTATATACAATTCCTGTACTACTACTACTACTACCACCACCTCTTCCTGCCTATATATAGCCGTCCTACTCCCCCTCTGGTTAGTGTGACTTTGTCAATGGTCCAAGTCGGAGCGAAACGTCGTCGTAAGCTTCTCTCTTTTATGTGCGGGTTATTTGTGCAACACTCAGCTTATGTTCTGGAGACTGGGTAAATACACATGTTATTTATTTGGGATACTTAGTTAGAAATAAGTGAAAAGAAACAAAATACTATTGAGAAAAATAATTTTTTGCACAGAAAAAGGGGGTTACTACATTAATGAACACCGGCAAGTTGATAAATAATAATAATAATAATAATAATAATAATAATAATAATAATAATAATAATAATATCTTTATTTCTACAAGTACATGTACAAGGTATACAGACCCACACCAGTCGACTAACACATAGACACCCTGTATAAGGAAACACGTCCAATGTTTCCACCCCTTTTTTATTTATTTATTTATTTCCAATTTGTGCACACATACAGAGGTACAAAAAAAATACAGATAAGAGCAGTATGCCAAAGCCACTTATACTATGCATAGCATTACGGGCTGGCTTAAAATTAACTTAAGATTAACTAAGCAATGATTATTATTATTATTATAATCAAAAAGAAGCGCTAAGCCACAAGGACTATACAGCGCTGCTACTAAGCAATGATGAAATCAGTGATAAAACATTAATGTAAACAGATAACTATAAAGCACAAGTGAGTATTACAAAGACAGGTCATATAGTTGCATTCAGTTAGGTAGTGATTCTGTTAGGTAGTGTATTTAAAAATAATAAAGTTAGATTGGGTTTTAGGTTTAACATTTATGTGATATAATTGTGAGAAACATTTAAGATATACAATTTATAATGTTCAGTTATTCAGTATTTATTTGGTTTTGGGTGAGTAAGTAATCTTTGAGAAGAGACTTGAATTTATAAACAGGTTGTGTTTCTTTTATTTTACAGGTAATGAATTCCAGATTTTAGGGCCTTTTATGTGCATTGAGTTTTTGCATAGTGTGAGATGGACACGAGGAACATCAAAGAGTGATCTGTGCCTTGTGTTATGGTCATGTGTTCTGTTGAGGTTGGCAAGGAGATGTTTGAGGGGAGGGTTAATATCAGAGTTAAGTGTTCTATGTATGTAATAGGTGCAGTAATAAGTATGGATGTTTTGTATGGTGAGTAGGTTTAGTGTATTGAATATTGGTGGAGTGTGCTGCCTGTAGTGAGAATTTGTTATCATTCTAACTGCAGCCTTTTGTTGGGTAATTAGTGGTCTGAGATGGTTAATTGTTGTTGAGCCCCATGCACAAATTCCATAGGTGAGATAGGGGTAAATAAGAGAGTGATATGGGAATCGAACCCGAACCCTCAGCGTGTGAAGCGAGAGCTTTGCCACCAGGCCACGGTGCACGTGCAGGACACATGCAAGTTTATTTAGGCACAGGTACATATAAGTACTTGAAAGTTGCACAAGTCTTATCGACCCAAGTGTTGCACGTTGCTACACTTGTTTTTTAGTGAAGTCATCTTACCAACTAGTGTATTTTTTTTCTCAGATCAATACAAAGATTGTCCATTGGAGGCGAAATATCTTCACTAAACAGATACCCCTAAGTGCTGCGCACGTGTTTTTATTGTACAGAAAACGGAAAGTGGCGTGGGAGGTCACCTTCACTGACCTTTGACCTCCACGCTGTAACCACTTAATACTCACAGAATATATACACAGAGTTGTGTCTCTCAGAGTATAAATGCTGAAAATTTAATTTAATCCCTATTTTAGGGATTTACGTTTATTATGTAATTATCAAAACTAAGCGCTAAATCCATAAGTTATACATTATTACAGAGGAAGCGCTAAACCCATAGGATTATACAGCACCTGTGGAGGATATTGAAGGTATTCAGGAGTAATTCAGGGAACGGGAGTACAGATCCAATTCCCTAGATCAAGAGCCCCTCACCAGCATCAAGGAACCTCCCTTGAGGGGGGTCTGGAACTAAACGATATAACTTAGCCACTGAAGGGCCCCTGTGGGTATAGTGCCCTCCCATGACTAACCACTCTCAAATAACCTACTTGTAAAGGTCTCTAATCCATGAAATGAAGAGGCCTACAATTCCTTTCCTGGGATCAAATCAAATTACCTCCCATTCCATCAGAGATTTATGATCCTTGCGGATTCAGCGCATTTTATTACACTAATGACCCTTATGGATTTAGTGCTTCCCCATAAATGTACTAGAGTTGTGGTATTCCTTCAAGATGGGTACCCTGGGTTCTATCCAAGTAACTAGTGCTACTCTCCCCTACCTCAGACTGAACCTGATAGCCTTTCATTCACACATTTTTTTTTTTTAATAAGCCAGCCACCTCCCACCCCACTCCCCAAGACAGTGACCCAAATAAGAAATACTTTCACCATCATTCACTATCACTGTCTTGCCAGAGGCATGCAGATACTACAGTTCAGATGCCCCTTCAAATTGCATGTATCCCTAAGAATGTGATGACTTCATATTAAATACATCTGGATGTTGTTTGCTCTCCTAGACTTAAAAAGGTGGAAGTGCAAGAACAGTAAATTTTTATTACAATCAAAACTAAGTACTAAAGAACAGTAAAGACAATGACCATGTGTATGAAGAATACTGAGACAATTGTCATTTGTGCCGATGGTTCTTTCTTGATGGATTGGTTTATTCATCAGAAAATGAGTCTTCATATCTGACCTCTATCAATAATGACATAATTACACTATGTAAAACACTCGCCTTTATGCAGCATCACTTGCTATATTCACTGACTGTTTCATCCCCATGGTTGACCTCTAGAATTGTCTGCCATGTAGTGCCAAATGACTCATAGGTTTTGCCTTTATTGTTATTATTATTATAATCAAAAAGATGCCTTTATTGTTAGTATTTTAATTCTTCCTACTGTGCCTTGCAGCATTCCTGTTTTCAGTGTCTACTCTTACACTTACGTACAGTCTGTTGTGTTCTTGAGAATTTCCTTTTACTTGTGCTACTGCTATGCAACTTTTTTCAGGTCATGCTGACAAAGAACACACAATGAAACTTTTTTTTTTTTTTTTTTTTTTTTTTAGAAAATATACATACATATACCTCTTGTCATGAGAGACAATTATTATTATAATCAAAAAGAAGCGCTAAGCCACAAGGGCTATACAGCGTCATGAGACACAGTCCTCTGATGTACAGGAGGGCCCCACTTTACAGTATTTCGCTAATACAGCAGTTTTCATTTATATCAATTCATTTATTTAAGCTGCCTACAATAAATATATTCACTGCTCACTATAAGCTAAGTACAAAAATATTTTAAGGTGAGTAATGTGTGAACTGTGTATGCATTATTTAAGCCTTGCTCTATGCTCACTTAACATATGATTGTGTAAACATGTTATCAGGCTTTTATTTGCATTTTAAAGTGAGAAAAGGGATGTTTCACTTCACAGCAATAGCCTGGATCCTAACCTACTGTATAAGTGGGGCCCTCCTGTATACAACACCTGGGCCTGATTTCTTAGTCTCTCTTCTCCTTCGCTCAAGAAAGACATTAAAAAGTTTTAAGACATCAACCCCTCAAAGGAGGTTCCTTAATGCCAGTGAGGGGCTCTTGATCTGAGGAACTGGACTGGTCTTCCCCTTCCTTGGACCAAATCTGAATGCCTCCCATTTACCCAGGAGCTGTATGACCCCTACAGGTTTAGTGTTCCCCCTTTGAATGTAACAATAAAAATATGACATTGAAAAACTATCAATTAAATTCAGTCTACAGTACCATTAAACAGTGATATTAAGTTATTTACTGTTTATAAATTAGGCTTATAGATATAGGCCAGAAGTTATTGTTACCTGTTAGGTTATTGTGCGAATTTCCATATATACGTAGCCACAGCTTCAATGCACAAGCCATTATTACAGTATTACCAATACACAAATAACTCACACAAAGGAGAGAGGAGCTTATGACAACATTTTGGTCATCCTTTAGCTCATCCTTTAGGCAGCACAACTTTTATTATTACAGCAATCAAAACTAAGTGCTAAACCCACAAGGGTTATACAGCACTGAAGTGTAACTTCTAAATTTTATAGAAATATTAAATTCCTGAATTGCATTTTGTTTAAAAGTAATTAATAAATTACCATAGCTTTTTATGACATGGGTTGCAGTAGTTGACGTTGTTCTCCACTGTATTACAACAGATAACATTATCAAGTACAAATTAAGAATCCAACTCAGATTCCTAAGCATAATACATAAAAGACCAACACCACCTCACAGGTAAATAATATAAAAAAAATATGGTGTTATTTTACTGTAATCTTTACAGTTTTGACTCAAAATTAGGGTAAATCAGATATTGATTTCCAATCAAAGAAAGTTGCACCTTTTAAATGAATGTGTATTAGGCATCAAAAGGAAGTATTTTTTTTTCAAGAGAAGTTTAACCAGCATCAAAAACCAACACATTCATAAGGTATCATCATACTTGCTTTGTTAAACTCATGCTGGAGAGAAAAACATCACAGAACACTTATTTGTCATAGACTACAGGTTTCAGTGAAACATTTTTCAAAATTGAGGTTTGCCTGTCTGTATGCATATATTGAAATTTAAAAAAAAAAATCAAAGTTCCAGATCAATAAATGCATAGAGAGTTCTTTTGTGAAATTCTTAAAAAACAACGGTTATACAGAGTATAGCCAGCTGGGTCACTAGGGTGATATTTCATCATTGCATCATTTGTTCATCCATAACTTTAGCAACCCACTCAGGATGTGCTGCGTTGATTTTCTCAATGATTTCATTCACCTGAAAACAGAGAGACTGAATCTGTTTGTCCCACTGTGGAAGAACATCACGAGCCTCAAAGTTCAGAATTCCATCAATCTGGAAGAAAAAATAATAAAGATTAAAGAAAGAATTCATGGGATATTATTTTTCGTTGGTAAAATCTGCCACCAAAGCTGACAGGTCCTACTTCTGTTTACCAATGGTAAATTAAATACACATCCAGAAATGTCTCATGCCTGCTTACCAGTATCTATCTTCCTACACAATGCAACAAGAATAGTAAAATATAGGAAAATTAAGACAAGATAAATAAAGCATTGCCTGTTCCAGCAAAAAGGGAAGTACTGTAGTAGAAATTGAGCTCATACAAGAATTTCTTTTTTCATCTAACAAGAATGCCATGTATCTATATTCCTCAAACAAGACTGTAAGCTCAAAGAGTCAAAGATTTGCCACTACACGGATTTTTGAGATTAGATGTCTGAGCTATAAGGACAGAAATATTCTGATGACACATGATCACAACATACAGTATACCAAATGTAGACAACTTGGCTTATGAGAAGACTATCCATAAGGGGTGGAACCCAGACAAAGAGACTTAACTTGAAAAATGTATATGTATCAATGGTAATATAGAATAATCCAAAGGGATATAAGAAGGAATCCTTCAACATTACTGTGATGAACAAGTGACAAGATAATGACAGAAGTTATTTATAAATTCAAATGTAAATGCATGAGAGCCCAAGGGAGTGGGAATGCATCACGTCAGGTGAGGTCCAAGAACTGGAGCTAAGCCAAGAGAATGTGAGAACATGGAAGCCTTATCTTGTTTCCCTTTACTGCAATTACTTGGATATAGAACAAATAGGCCAAGGAGAAGCCTCCCTGAAATCAAACATGTGTAACTTTTCATCCTTAATACTAAAATACAATTCTCATATATTTCAGTTAGGAAAACACTGCAAGGTATACTGCCTCATTTACCTGGTCAATATAACCATTCATTCGTCCCTCTGTGATCATCTGACTGGCTATTTTTTCTGCCTTGGCTGGTGAGATTTGAAGTAGAGCGCCCAACTCGGGGAATGTAATATTGTTATAAAGTTTGCTGGCAGCCAGCAAATTATGCTCTGTGACTGCTCTGTCCAAGATAGTAGAGCCTGGAACATTAACATAACTTCAATGTTGTTTCTTATAAAGAACTAAGAGCATTTTATTAAACAGTTCATTTCTATTTAATGACATTATATCCAAAGCCAATTAAAAAAATTTACAAAGATAGTGTCAAAACTCAAAAGTTCAGTACTAAATACACAATGAATTTACTAAGCACAAAAAAAAGAACACTCATTGAAATACAACACACACCAGTAAGACAAGCTTTACAAATACAATACTTGCCATCAGATGTGGTAGCTTGTTGATGAGGCTGCAGCATTTTCTGAAACTCGGTAAGTTCATTATGACGGATGATACGGTCAAGGTGCATTTTCTCTAGAATGTGATAACACGGCAACTTTTGACATCGCTCATCTTTAAACAATGTTCCAAGCATTCTTGATCGTTGCTGACCTATTTAACAAAATTATATGCAGATAATTAAAAATCTTGGTGACAGTTACACTTACGCAATTTTGCTCTAAATTTATGATTAAAGTGGTGAGGTATAAACTTACTAGACTAGGAGTAAAATTTGTATTAGACATAATAAACATTTATAATAATTACATGTAAAATATATAAAAATGAAATCAAATATTACATAAAATTGAAGATATGTTCTTTGCAATGTTTTGAAGCTACTGATTTTTTTTTTATCCTTCAGTTAGGTTCAAAATTTTTGGGTACTTTGATTTGCATGGGGTGTATACTCACACTGAGTCATTCACATGGAATGTCATAAGAGTGATGTTTGTCTAGTGCTATGCCTATACAATCTCTCAAACAATTGTTCTAGCTCTGGGTTGATACATTAGTTGTAATGAGTGTTCTCTATGCATGTAATACGCACAACATTTGTCACAACTCTGTCATATACAGTATTCAAAGAAACTAAATTTGACCTGACACTGAGATAATCTTATACTACACTGTCTGCAATTATGAATTTTTTTGTAAAATAAATCTATATATTACCAATATAGAGCATAGGCAATGGGGTCGAAGAGGTATGGAGTAGGTTTAAAAATGTAATGTTAGAGTATTCAGCAGAAGTTTGTGGTTACAGGAAAGTGGGTGCGGGAGGGAAGAGGAGCGATTGGTGGAATGATGATGTAAAGAGAGTAGTAAGGGAGAAAAAGTTAGCATATGAGAAGTTTTTACAAAGTAGAAGTGATGCAAGGAGGGAAGAGTATATGGAGAAAAAGAGAGAGGTTAAGAGAGTGGTGAAGCAATGTAAAAAGAGAGCAAATGAGAGAGTGGGCGAGATGTTATCAACAAATTTTGTTGAAAATAAGAAAAAGTTTTGGAGTGAGATTAACAAGTTAAGGAAGCCTAGAGAACAAATGGATTTGTCAGTTAAAAATAGGAGAGGAGAGTTATTAAATGGAGAGTTAGAGGTATTGGGAAGATGGAGGGAATATTTTGAGGAATTGTTAAATGTTGACGAAGATAGGGAAGCTGTGATTTCGTGTATAGGGCAAGGAGGAATAACATCTTGTAGGAGTGAGGAAGAGCCAGTTGTGAGTGTGGGGGAAGTTCGTGAGGCAGTAGGTAAAATGAAAGGGGGTAAGGCAGCCGGGATTGATGGGATAAAGATAGAAATGTTTAAAGCAGGTGGGGATATAGTTTTGGAGTGGTTGGTGCAATTATTTAATAAATGTATGGATGAGGGTAAGGTACCTAGGGATTGGCAGAGAGCATGCATAGTTCCTTTGTATAAAGGCAAAGGGGACAAAAAGAGAGTGCAAAAATTATAGGGGGATAAGTCTGTTGAGTATACCTGGTAAAGTGTATGGTAGAGTTATTATTGAAAGAATTAAGAGTAAGACGGAGAATAGGATAGCAGATGAACAAGGAGGCTTTAGGAAAGGTAGGGGGTGTGTGGACCAGGTGTTTACAGTGAAACATGTAAGTGAACGGTATTTAGATAAGGCTAAAGAGGTCTTTGTGGCATTTATGGATTTGGAAAAGGCGTATGACAGGGTGGATAGGGGGCAATGTGGCAGATGTTGCAGGTGTATGGTATAGGAGGTAGGTTACTGAAAGCAGTGAAGAGTTTTTATGAGGATAGTGAGGCTCAAGTTAGAGTATGTAAGAAAGAGGGAAATTATTTCCCAGTAAAAGTAGGCCTTAGACAAGGATGTGTGATGTCACCGTGGTTGTTTAATATATTTATAGATGGGGTTGTAAGAGAAGTAAATGCGAGGGTCTTGGCAAGAGGCATGGAGTTAAAAGATAAAGAATCACACATAAAGTGGGAGTTGTCACAGTTGCTCTTTGCTGATGACACTGTGCTCTTGGGAGATTCTGAAGAGAAGTTGCAGAGATTGGTGGATGAATTTGGTAGGGTATGTAAAAGAAGAAAATTAAAAGTGAATACAGGAAAGAGTAAGGTTATGAGGAAAACAAAAAGATTAGGTGATGAAAGATTGGATATCAGATTGGAGGGAGAGAGTATGGAGGAGGTGAATGTATTCAGATATTTGGGAGTGGACGTGTCAGCGGATGGGTCTATGAAAGATGAGGTGAATCATAGAATTGATGAGGGGAAAAGGGTGAGTGGTGCACTTAGGAGTCTGTGGAGACAAAGAACTTTGTCCTTGGAGGCAAAGAGGAGAATGTATGAGAGTATAGTTTTACCAACGCTCCTATATGGGTGTGAAGCATGGGTGATGAATGTTCAGCGAGGAGAAGGCTGGAGGCAGTGGAGACGTCATGTCTGAGGGCAATGTGTAGTGTGAATATAATGCAGAGAATTCGTAGTTTGGAAGTTAGGAGGAGGTGCGGGATTACCAAAACTGTTGTCCAGAGGGCTGAGGAAGGGTTGTTGAGGTGGTTCGGACATGTAGAGAGAATGGAGCGAAACAGAGTGACTTAAAGAGTGTATCAGTCTGTAGTGGAAGGAAGGTGGGGTAGGGGTTGGCCTAGGAAAGGTTGGAGGGAGGGGGTAAAGCAGGTTTTGTGTGCAAGGGGCTTGGATTTCCAGCAGGCATGCGTGAGCGTGTTTGATAGGAGTGAATGGAGACAAATGGTTTTTAATACTTGACGTGCTGTTGGAGTGTGAGCAAAGTAACATTTATGAAGGGGTTCAGGGAAACCGGCAGGCCAGACTTGAGTCCTGGAGATGGGAAGTACAGTGCCTGCACTCTGAAGGAGGGGTGTTAATGTTGCAGTTTAAAAACTGTAGTGTAAAGCACTCTTCTGGCAAGACAGTGATGGAGTGAATGATGGTGAAAGTTTTTCTTTTTCGGGCCACCCTGCCTTGGTGGGAATCGGCCAGTGTGATAATAAAATAAAATAAATAAATATTACCAAGATCATGATCAATATGTGTTATGAACCAGATCAATAACAGGTACTAATTAAGGCTAGTTTGTAAATGCCTAATGAAATTTATGAGCATTGTACAACAACAAGAAAGTTAATTATTATGTACCATATACCTCTTACTTGTACATAAAAAAAAAAAAGATCCAGGAAGAAAAAAAGCGGAATAGACGGTAGATAGTCATAGGTTTCAATATTTGCTTAGAACTAAGCAAAACTAAGGAATGCAAGATGATGTGTTGTAAGTTTGGAAAAACAAGTTATTGAAAGATGGTTCAATAATGAATGACTATAGACAAACAAGTAGCTAAATATATCTTTACCTGCAGATGCTAACACTGTGCAAATCAATGCCTTTTTTAAAGCTTCCATTCTCTCATCCTCATGAATGATTGGCCGATAGGAGAGTTCATTATATCGCTGAGCTGCTTCTATAAACTTGCGACGATAATCTAAAACCCTTGCATAGCATACCTTGTAGTAAATCTGAAGTTGCTCATTCTTTGAGTCTGCCTGTAAATAGTTACATCAGATATTTTAAATAAAGAATTTATGATAAAAACACAATAATCATTTCTTATTAACAAAAAATTAAATACTGTACTGGATTTACAGGTAAACAACCCTTGTATGTACAATCAGTCCAGCCTTAAACTGTATATGTCAAACTATTATTGGCACAAAATGAAACTGGATTACTGTCTCAGCCAAGTATCAGATCAGCCAGGCTGTGATGGGCATGTAGACCTATGGGCTACAAGCCACAACAGCCTGGCTGGCCAAGCAAGCAACATGGAATCCTGGCTTCAGGCCGAGTTGCAAGGGTCAAAGAGCCCTCAAACACAATCACAGATATGTACTAAGTTGATCTCAAATGATTTTTCCTATAAAACAAACTAATACAAGGCTTTCTGGGCTAATTATCAAATGTATTTATCCAAAACTCAGTCAAGAATTTGTGTCATATACAGTATTTTCTGGCATATAAGGCACACGAGTGTCAGCTGTTTGTTGGCATGATGTTCCCAAGCAGATGAAATGTAACGTTAGTAAACAACTGATAAAGCATAATCCAAAGCCTACCCTTGACCATACCTTGAGTATATAAGGCACAGGGTGATTTTCCAAGACTTTTTTGGGGGAAAAAAAAAGCACGCCTTATATGCCAGAAAATACGGTAAGCCAAAACTTTTGGGGGAAGCATTCTATACAATTGCCAAGCTTCAAGTAATGTAAAGGTTTTTTAGTAATGATAATCTTTTAACAGAAATGAGATCAAATAAAGTACAAAAGTTTCTGAGCACCACAAAAATGTCAACCCTATCTGTCTCTCATTAAATTATTTATTTACTTTTTTAAGAACAGTATGTTAATCATTAAAACTGAAAAAGAGAAAAGTGACTGTCCAATAACACATTTTAAGTAAATAAAAATAAAATATTTAAAAGTAAAATTACATGTCTGAAATGCATTTCCCTATTTGTAAACATGTCTGCTCAACAAAAATTAATTTGTATTACCATCCTGTACAATTCATCCCTTGAGTAATGCCAAGGAGCCTGGGATATCTACTCTCTGTTACACAAAGAAAAGTTAAAGCTACACAGGAAGAAAATATAGTTCTGTATGGTAAACAGTGGCGGCTCGTCCATAGGAGCTGCAGAGCTGCAGTTTCCCCCAGATGCTCACTGCCAGAAGTATGATTTCATCAACCTTATTCTAAAATAATAATTTTGATCTGACAAATATATTACAGGAAAAATCTGTTGTATATTGTTTTCAATGTATTTCTAAGCAAATTTTTTATTTTTTGTTGAAACGAGATAAAAAATGATTAAAAATAGAAGTCTGATGTGGTACAATAGTACATATAGGTATTACTGGCGTCACAAGCCGCCACTGATGGTAAAGCAAAGTATATAAACATTATTCTACAACAGACCTCTCATACACGTGCCATGCAGTACACAGTGCCATATCACAGACCTGTAAGATACTAGCACGATTAATATACGCTTCTCCTTGCACTGGATCATCATCCTCCAGGTATAATCGAGCAATTTTGAGGTAAGTCTCCAATTTATAGTCCACACTATACTGCCTGGAAAATAAGAAATATGAAAAAAATACAAGAGCAATTCAATTTATAGCTTTATAATTGTAAGTGCCATGTCTATTTATAAGGAGGAAAGGATTCTGCACCTAAGGCAGAAAGCTTTAACAAACACATTTTAATTAATGCATATGTTTGTCTAAACTGCAATACTGTAGGTGAATTCTGGCTTTATATTAACAAAGTGCCTTTGTGAGTAAAAGACATATGTGCAATGATCAAGATATTTATAGGTAGTAGGTTGGTAGACAGCAACGACCCAGGGAAGTACTACCGTCCTGCCAGATGACTGTGAAACAGAAACCTGTAACTGTTTTGCATGATGGTAGGATTGCTGGTTTCTTTTTCTGTCTCATAAACATGCTAGATAACAGGGATATCTTGCTACTCCTACTTACACTTTGGTCACACTTCACAGACACGCACATGCATATATATATATATACATACATCTAGGTTTTTCTCCTTTTTCTAAATAGCTCTTGTTCCTCTTTATTTCTTCTATTATCCATGGGGAAGTGGAAAAGAATCTTTCCTCCGTAAGCCATGCGTGTCGTATGAGGCGACTAAAATGCCGGGAGCAATGGGCTAGTAACCCCTTCTCCTGTAGACATTTACTAAAAAAGAGAAGAAGAAAAACTTTATAAAACTGGGATGCTTAAATGTGCGTGGATGTAGTGCGAATGACAAGAAACAGATGATTGCTGATGTTATGAATGAAAATAAGTTGGATGTCCTGGCCCTAAGCGAAACAAAGCTGAAGGGGGTAGGGGAGTTTCGGTGGGGGGAAATAAATGGGATTAAATCTGGAGTATCTGAGAGAGTTAGAGCAAAGGAAGGGGTAGCAGTAATGTTGAATGATCAGTTATGGAAGGAGAAAAGAGAATATGAATGTGTAAATTCAAGAATTATGTGGATTAAAGTAAAGGTTGGATGCGAGAAGTGGGTCATAATAAGCGTGTATGCACCTGGAGAAGAGAGGAATGCAGAGGAGAGAGAGAGATTTTGGGAGATGTTAAGTGAATGTATAGGAGCTTTTGAACCAAGTGAGAGAGTAATTGTGGTAGGGGATCTGAATGCTAAAGTAGGAGAAACTTTTAGAGAGGGTGTGGTAGGTAAGTTTGGGGTGCCAGGCGTAAATGATAATGGGAGCCCTTTGATTGAACTTTGTATAGAAAGGGGTTTAGTTATAGGTAATACATATTTTAAGAAAAAGAGGATAAATAAGTATACAAGATATGATGTAGGGCGAAATGACAGTAGTTTGTTGGATTATGTATTGGTAGATAAAAGACTGTTGAGTAGACTTCAGGATGTACATGTTTATAGAGGGGCCACAGATATATCAGATCACTTTCTAGTTGTAGCTACACTGAGAGTAAAAGGTAGATGGGATACAAGGAGAATAGAAGCATCAGGGAAGAGAGAGGTGAAGGTTTATTAACTAAAAGAGGAGGCAGTTAGGGTAAGATATAAACAGCTATTGGAGGATAGATGGGCTAACGAGAGCATAGGCAATGGGGTCGAGGAGGTATGGGGTAGGTTTAAAAATGTAGTGTTAGAGTGTTCAGCAGAAGTTTGTGGTTACAGGAAAGTGGGTGCGGGAGGGAAGAGGAGCGATTGGTGGAATGATGATGTGAAGAGAGAAAAAGTTAGGGAAGAAAAAGGGAGAAAAAGTTAGCATATGAGAAGTTTTTACAAAGTAGAAGTGATGCAAGGAGGGAAGAGTATATGGAGAAAAAGAGAGAGGTTAAGAGAGTGGTGAAGCAATGTAAAAAGAGAGCAAATGAGAGACTGGGCGAGATGTTATCAACAAATTTTGTTGAAAATAAGAAAAAGTTTTGGAGTGAGATTAACAAGTTAAGAAAGCCTAGAGAACAAATGGATTTGTCAGTTAAAAATAGGAGAGGAGAGTTATTAAATGGAGAGTTAGAGGTATTGGGAAGATGGAGGGAATATTTTGAGGAATTGTTAAATGTTGATGAAGATAGGGAAGCTGTGATTTCGTGTATAGGGCAAGGAGGAACAACATCTTGTAGGAGTGAGGAAGAGCCAGTTGTGAGTGTGGGGGAAGTTCGTGAGGCAGTAGGTAAAATGAAAGGGGGTAAGGCAGCCGGGATTGATGGGATAAAGATAGAAATGTTAAAAGCAGGTGGGGATATAGTTTTGGAGTGGTTGGTGCAATTATTTAATAAATGTATGGAAGAGGGTAAGGTACCTAGGGATTGGCAGAGAGCATGCATAGTTCCCTTTGTATAAAGGCAAAGGGGATAAAAGAGAGTGCAAAAATTATAGGGGGAGAAGTCTGTTGAGTATACCTGGCAAAGTGTATGGTAGAGTTATTATTGAAAGAATTAAGAGTAAGACGGAGAATAGGATAGCAGATGAACAAGGAGGCTTTAGGAAAGGTAGGAGGTGTGTGGACCAGGTGTTTACAGTGAAACATATAAGTGAACAGTATTTAGATAAGGCTAAAGAGGTCTTTGTGGCATTTATGGATTTGGAAAAAGCGTATGACAGGGTGGATAGGGGGGCAAAGTGGCAGATGTTGCAAGTGTATGGTGTAGGAGGTAGGTTACTGAAAGCAGTGAAGAGTTTTTACGAGGATAGTGAGGCTCAAGTTAGAGTATGTAGGAAAGAGGGAAATTATTTCCCAGTAAAAGTATGCCTTAGACAAGGATGTGTGATGTCACCGTGGTTGTTTAATATATTTATAGATGGGGTTGTAAGAGAAGTAAATGCGAGGGTCTTGGCAAGAGGCGTGGAGTTAAAAGATAAAGAATCACACATAAAGTGGGAGTTGTCACAGTTGCTCTTTGCTAATGACACTGTGCTCTTGGGAGATTCTGAAGAGAAGTTGCAGAGATTGGTGGATGAATTTGGTAGGGTGTGCAAAAGAAGAAAATTGAAAGTGAATACAGGAAAGAGTAAGGTTATGAGGATAACAAAAAGATTAGGTGATGAAAGATTGGATATCAGATTGGAGGGAGAGAGTATGGAGGAGGTGAATGTATTCAGATATTTGGGAGTGGACGTGTCAGCGGATGGGTCTATGAAAGATGAGGTGAATCATAGAATTGATGAGGGGAAAAGGGTGAGTGGTGCACTTAGGAGTCTGTGGAGACAAAGAACTTTGTCCTTGGAGGCAAAGAGAGGAATGTATGAGAGTATAGTTTTACCAATGCTCTTATATGGGTGTGAAGCATGGGTGATGAATGTTGCAGCGAGGAGAAGGCTGGAGGCAGTGGAGATGTCATGTCTGAAAGCAATGTGTGGTGTGAATATAATGCAGAGAATTCGTAGTTTGGAAGTTAGGAGGAGGTGCGGGATTACCAAAACTGTTGTCCAGAGGGCTGAGGAAGGGTTGTTGAGGTGGTTCGGACATGTGGAGAGAATGGAGCGAAACAGAATAACTTCAAGAGTGTATCAGTCTGTAGTGGAAGGAAGGCGGGGTAGGGGTCGGCCTAGGAAAGGTTGGAGGGAGGGGGTAAAGGAGGTTTTGTGTGCGAGGGGCTTGGACTTCCAGCAGGCATGCGTGAGCGTGTTTGATAGGAGTGAATGGAGACAAATGGTTTTTAATACTTGACGTGCTGTTGGAGTGTGAGCAAAGTAACATTTATGAAGGGGTTCAGGGAAACCGGCAGGCCGGACTTGAGTCCTGGAGATGGGAAGTACAGTGCCTGCACTCTGAAGGAGGGGTGTTAATGTTGCAGTTTAAAAACTGAAGTGTAAAGCACTCTTCTGGCAAGACAGTGATATAGTGAATGATGGTGAAAGTTTTTCTTTTTCGGGCCACCCTGCCTTGGTGGGAATCAGCCAGTGTGATAAAAAAAAAAAAAAAAAAAATCAAGATATTTAATAAATGCTGTACACAAATAACCCACATATAGGAGAAAGAAACTTATGACTATGTTTCAGTCCAACTTGGACCAAAACATTGTCCTAAGTTTCTTTCTTCAATAAGCAGGTTGTGTATTGCTCCAGTCATGATATTGTGCCTTTTTATTCTTTAATAAATTCCTTGAACAGTTCTTACTTTCTTTTACCTACAATTTCTCAGTACCACTGACCACTCTCACCATGTGCCTCATGTAATAAAAACAATGAACTGTGAAAATCTTACACAAGTTAATAAGAGTATTTTCAAAGATCTCAGCATATTACCATGGAGGTTAAGTAGTTCAGCAGTTCAAGGACCAATAACAAACTTATGAAGATAATGCAATTCATAAAATAAGTGCAGATCTACAGAAGTAGGCTAAAGAATAGTGAAAATTCTAGAAATTACATTTGGGGTATTAATAAAGAGTAACACAGCATTGATAAAATAAGATCATTTTTTTTTCAACAAATAGGCCCTATCCCACCGAGGTAGGGTGACCTAAAAAGAAAAAGAAAAGTTTATCTTTTTAAAATTAGTAATGTATACAGGAGCAGGGGTTACTAGCCTCTCACTCCCATAAGAAGCTAATAGGTAAATAAAATGCTGCAGTTATATTTAGGTGATGGTTCCAGAAAGCAGAGGAAGACTGATGTATGTGCATTATTATAATATTTATGTGACTGAATTCATTGACCAACTAATCATTTACAAAACTGAATTACATTTGTACTCTGAAAATAGTTCATTCCTGGTAGTACTTTGTAAAATTATCATTATTTTTGAGAGGTCATACAGTGCCCAGAAAAGGAATTCCAGTTTTAGCCAAGGAAATGGAGATTAGCTCCAATTCCTTGGATCATGAACCCTTAACTGGCCTTAAAGTATCTTCCCTTTCCCTTCAAGGAGCATTACTACAGGAACTTGCTAAGCTAACAGACTGTTGAGGCTTCCTTAAAACCACTATGTACATTGGTAGTCTTTTGACTACAACCTGCAGGATGAGTGCAGGACTGCATTTTATAGATGCCATGAATGACTGCAATTCCAACACAAATATAACAATGGATTAATTTAAAATAGTTTTAGTCATAAAGATAAAAAAACTAAAGAGACTTTATAAATTTAACAATATATGACAATGTAAGAATAATGCATCTGCCAGTATATTTATCAAGTAATCATGCTTGATAAGAATACTGCATGGTAGTGCATGTTTACACAGTATCTATGTACATAATTCCAAAATAAAATTTTATGTTTAACACATTTATACAAAATACTGTGGGTCATAACCATTTCAAAACGGCAGAGCTAATAATAGAAATATACAGTCATCTAAAGGTTTAATATAACCTACTTCTGTCCTGTTTCTAATGGAATCCCTGTAAGAACAGCTGCTGCATCTCTCCATGAACTCTCACGTTCATAGATATCAGCCAGATGCTGTCTGATACTTGCTACCTGCTCCTCAAAACTGATAACACGTGGCTGTACCTGAAATGACAAAAAACTTGTTATCACTGAAACTAAAAATTTCTGAGAGTATAGTACAATACAATGTTATTCAACCAACACTATTTATGTACCAGCAATGATACATAAAGATGCTAGCTCTTCTAATTGACACTATTTTCTGTGATACTATATTCATTTTTGTTTAAGTTTTCCATTTCATTTGAACAAACAATATACTGTACTCTTTAATGAATACCTTCATTTCTTAATTATTATCATTATTATTAAAACCATATAGATCATTCAAACTTTTCTATAAATTTTCACCTATGTAGGATAATAAACACCTTTGATAATTAATAAATGATACAAGAACACTCATTCTACAATACACAGTGAATTGTTACCTAACCTGCAAGCTCCATTTAAATAAATAGTACTTTTAAATGTCATGTACATTAAATCAGTTTGAATAATACTAAATATTGTATGCACAGTACTGTTTTAAAAAAAATACTTAAAATCCTCTATAACTGGTATTACATTAACTGGGTTTATAAAGCAAACTACTGAGTATGTTTTATCATTTGTTTCTGGTAAAAATTTAGTCTTGAACTTGTGTCAACATCAGTAATTTGTACTTATTTTTTGTAAAAGGCAATACTAAATACATAATATACACCAAGACCCCTGAATCTGTGGGGGATACGTTCCAAGGACCTGCCGTGGAAACCGAAACTGTGGATAGTAGCAAACCCTATATATAAGTCCTATACATATCTATTATAAAATTTAACTGATAAATTATGCACATTAAGTGGAGAATTATTACTTTTCACTGTTGGGAAGTACTTCATGGCCTCTCTTAGGCTTTGAAGAACTGAAAGTGTTTCTACTTTTGCACTTTGAGACCATTATTATGCAAAATTAAGAAGTATTTTTGGGCCACAGTAAACTTCAAATCCTACATTACTACAATATTGCCATTTATTAACTAAGCTTATAAGTAAAAATATGCAGTACAATTTTTATTTCTAGTAAGAAGAATAAAAGCTATTAAACTTTTGTTGGTGTCTGAATGTATACTTACTTTGTCAAGCGTGAAATGTGCAACTGTTTTTGCAACATTATCTGCCATCTCAACAAGCTGTGCCGAGACATCAGACAGAAGCTGTCGAGATATTACGAGACTGACTGTCTCTTTTACAACTGAAACAGATTATGTGTTAAAAGTTATTTAAGTGGACTAAGGACTATTATTAAATTCCTATAAATATATCCAGCAATCTATCGCACGGTGCAAAATATGTGCTGTACTTTCATTTAACAGCACCTAAAATTTTTCCATTAGAGGGCGTTCTCCAATATATGCTCAATTTTCCAGCTATTTTACTACGAGTCAGTAAATAAAAACAGCGATACGTACTTGCTTCAATAAATGTCTGGAGGCCTTCTGTCATGTCATCGTCATTGCCAACTTTAAGAATGGAGTCTAGGACTATACGATACCTAAATAAAAAAAAACAGTCAATAAACACCAAATAGAAATACATAAAAAGCTGGAGTTGGTGCTGAGGGACTGATTACCTCAAACTCCTCCTCTCCTTGCACCTTCCTGCTTTGTATTGGACTGATGAAGCCAGTGTGGCGAAACGTTTCCTCAATAGTCCCATAAGTGTCTCAATCTTCAACATGTCGTTTTTTTAAAACATTTATCACATATTTCTTGATATATATATTTCAATGCAAGGTAAGCAATAGAAATAACATTGTGATCAAGGAGGTGATATGTCCCTCCAACGATGCGACGTATTTCCATCAATACCAAATATATTTCAGCTTCCTCAGTGCTTACTTATCATGGTCTTTATGAGAGCCTCCCGAGGACACCAGTGCCTGCAGCTGCTGGCGGACCTGCACACAGAAAGCCATGCTAAAACAAAGAATGACAAGACACTACCACAGTGGCAGGTATTGTGGTTGTGGTTGCTAAGGGCCACTATAGGACGAGCTGTACTGTACTCCCTGATATGGGGTTGTTAAGGGCCACTAAAGGAGGAGCTCTACTGTACTCCCTTATATGTGGTTGTTAAGGGCCACCACAGTATGAGCTGTACTGTACTCCCTTGTATGTGGTTGCAGGGGTCGATAAGATAAGATAAGATTTCGTTCGGATTTTTAACCCCGGAGGGTTAGCCACCCAGGATAACCCAAGAAAGTCAGTGCGTCATCGAGGACTGTCTAACTTATTTTCATTGGGGTCCTTAATCTTGTCCCCCAGGATGCGACCCACACCAGTCGACTAACACCCAGGTACCTATTTGCTGCTAGGTGAACAGGACAACAGGTGTAAGGAAACGTGTCGAAATGTTTCCACCCGCCGGGAATCGAACCCGGGCCCTCCGTGTGTGAAGCGGGAGCTTTAGCCACCAGGCCACCGGGTCGAGGCAGGTATGCATAATATAGTAATAAGATAAGATTTCGTTCGGATTTTTAACCCCGGAGGGTTATCCACCCAGGATAACCCAAGGAAGTCAGTGCGTCATCGAGGACTGTCTAACTTATTTCCATTGGGGTCCTTAATCTTGTCCCCCAGGATGCGACCCACACCAGTCGACTAACACCCAGGTACCTATTTGCTGCTAGGTGAACAGGACAATAGGTATAAGGAAACGTGTCGAAATGTTTCCACCCGCCGGGAATCGAACCCGGGCCCTCCGTGTGTGAAGCGGGAGCTTCAGCCACCACAAGAATGGTATATAATACGGACAAGATGAAATTACGACACATGTGCAACATTTGGGTATCTTTATTATAGACGTTTAGCCATCCAGTGGCTTTATCAATACAAATTCCAGGACATAATTTGAAGACAGTAGAACTATATACAGAAGATGAGGTAATGAGTCCCTCAACCTTGGAGTTGGCGTGAAGAACACCGTAGTCCTGGAGATTCTGAAGCAGAGACAAGGAACCTTTGTGGAAAATACTGTATATATTTTCCGGAAATACGGTAATTTATAGGTAAATAGATGGCCTATACTGTATTTAATAATATTTGTCATAGAAAACGGAAAACCTGTGTCTGGGCAGGAGACTCGCCATCTTGGTTTTGAATTTTGTACAAACGTTGGTGTAATGGGAAGAATTTTCGTGCTCTAGAGGTTAAAATTGGGCTGACACCTCTCAAATAGGAGGCGAAATTGTTGGACATGCATTCCTGCATAACTTGAGATATCAGACGACTGGACAAGACAGCTCTAGGAACCTCAGATAAGCTCTCTAGATTTGTGTATAATTCTGGCCAGTGTTTTCATAAATTTAGTTAGTGAGGTTTTTCTGAGTATGATACAACTTAATATCCAGTCAAATTGGTGAGTGATATTAAGATACATTTTCCTTCTGTTATGTAATTGTGTATATATATAACCATTTATTATTTTTAATATACAGTCCACAAATATTTACCAGTATTCCTGGTGTATGTATATTTCATTTAATTAATAGGTCCAGAGCAACTTGTGGTTATGACAGTGGTAGGTATCGAAGGGGGACATTTTTTGCGACCTAGGTGTCCCAAATTCCTACTTGTCTATGTAACATTGATAAATAATAATTATCTTTGTTATCATTTGCTGTTATGTACACAATTAGTTACATTCAGATAAATGCAATTTTCCACAACCTTGTCGGTATTGTATACCATTCTTGTACAACCTCCTGTCAGACACTGCAACATCATGGAATCATGATTCTGAGGACATGTATATGACCTTCACGGCTACGGCAACAACCACTACAACTAACCCATTTCTTTGGGTAGGACCTACTTTCCCTGGGGAATCCCACCTACCAGTGACTGTATCCTCGTCTGCTACACGTCCCCTTTCCACCTGACGTTAATATATAAGCGCTAGGTTCCTTCACTCTGCTCCATATATAAAAAATGGCTCTACGTGACCATACTTTTTGAAGGGGTGGACCGGTAAGCCAGCGGAAGGCCTCGGTCAGATGACCAAAAGCTCCAAAGGCGGGTCATCATCTAAGACCCGCGTCAGGAAACATTTGTCCTGTTTCCTGACGAACCTGACCTAACCTAACCTCTCTGCTCCAGAACATTCATGACTACGGTGCTCTTCACGCCAGCTCTAAGGCTGAGGGACTGATTACCTCATCTTCTGGATATAGTTCTACTGTCTTCAAATTATATCCTGGAATTTGTATTGATAAAGCCACTGGATGGCGAAACGTCTACAATAAAGATACCCAGATATTGCACATGTCTTAATTTCATCAGGTATACACAGATACAGTTATATACATTATCATTATTATGAAAGCAGTGAAGAGTTTTTACGAGGATAGTGAGGCTCAAGTTAGAGTATGTAGGAAAGAGGGAAATTATTTCCCAGTAAAAGTAGGCCTTAGGATGTGTGATGTCACCGTGGTTGTTTAATATATTTATAGATGGGTTGTAAGAGAAGTAAATGCGAGGGTCTTGACAAGAGGCGTGGAGTTAAAAGATAAAGAATCACACATAAAGTGGGAGTTGTTACAGTTGCTCTTTGCTGATGACACTGTGCTCTTGGGAGATTAGTTAGTTTAATATGTTTATTATGCACCCCATACCCATCCTGTGGGCGGTAGTCAAAAGATTCTGAAGAAAAGTTGCAGAGATTGGTGGATGAATTTGGTAGGGTGTGCAAAAGAAGAAAATTGAAAGTGAATACAGGAAAGAGTAAGGTTATGAGGATAACAAAAATATTAGGTGATGAAAGATTGGATATCAGATTGGAGGGAGAGAGTATGGAGGAGGTGAATGTATTCAGATATTTGGGAGTGGACGTGTCAGCGGATGGGTCTATGAAGGATGAGGTGAATCATAGAATTGATGAGGGGAAAAGGGTGAGTGGTGCACTTAGGAGTCTGAGGAGACAAAGAACTTTGTCCTTGGAGGCAAAGAGGGGAATGTATGAGAGTATAGTTTTACCAACGCTCTTATATGGGTGTGAAGCGTGGGTGATGAATGTTGCAGCGAGGAGAAGGCTGGAGGCAGTGGAGATGTCATGTCTGAGGGCAATGTGTGGTGTGAATATAATGCAGAGAATTCGTAGTTTGGAAGTTAGGAGGAGGTGCGGGATTACCAAAACTGTTGTCCAGAGGGCTGAGGAAGGGTTGTTGAGGTGGTTCGGACATGTAGAGAGAATGGAGCGAAACAGAATGACTTCAAGAGTGTATCAGTCTGTAGTGGAAGGAAGGCGGGGTAGGGGTCGGCCTAGGAAAGGTTGGAGGGAGGGGGTAAAGGAGGTTTTGTGTGCGAGGGGCTTGGACTTCCAGCAGGCGTGCGTGAGCGTGTTTGATAGGAGTGAATGGAGACGAATGGTTTTTAATACTTGACGTGCTGTTGGAGTGTGAGCAAAGTAACATTTATGAAGGGATTCAGGGAAACCGGCAGGCCAGACTTGAGTCCTGGAGATGGGAAGTACAGTGCCTGCACTCTGAAGGAGGAATGTTAATGTTGCAGTTTAAAAACTGTAGTGTAAAGCACCCTTCTGGCAAGACAGTGATGGAGTGAATGATGGTGAAAGTTTTTCTTTTTCGGGCCACCCTGCCTTGGTGGGAATCGGCCAGTGTGATAATAATAAAAAAATACACGAATACAGTTATATACATTATCATACATATCAACATATGGGTATAGAACCTGGGATAGCCCAAAAAAATCAGACAGTGACTTATTTCCATTGGGGTCGACCTGTCGGTATTTTATGCCGTTATCAACATTTTCAGGTCTGGTCAGGTGTTACAATATTGGCCAGACCTGGACAGACGGGAAAATGCAACATGAGGATCTGTGCACATAATTATGCGGAAAAAATATATAATTCCCTGACAGGGTGGTTGAACCTTGCAGTACATGTGTAATGAAAATGGTTTTGAAAAACCCACAAGTTGAAAACTGAGACACTTGTGCAACGTTTGGGAATCTTTATTGAGGAAACGTTTGGCCAGCCAGTGGCTTCTTCAGTCCAATATAGAAAACAGCAGTGGAAGATGAGGAGTCTGAGGTAATCAGTCCCGTAGCCTGGAGTACATCACTTTTGAGATTAAGTTTATTTAGGCACAGGTACACATAATTACAGTTATCATACATAGTTTAAATTACAAAGGATAACCCAAAAAAGTCAAAGTGACTAATTTCCAATGGGGCCATTGTATTTTCATTGGGGTCCTTGAAGGACTTAACACATCAACTCCAGGCTGAGGGACTGATTACCTCAAACTCTTCCTCATCTTCCACTGTTATTTTCTGTATTGGACTGAAGAAGCCACTGGCTGGCGAAACGTTTCTTCAATACAGATTCCTAAATGTTGCAGTACACTACTGGGTTGGTGACCGTCTTTACCTCCAAAAGCAGCACATCATTGGCGCTTTTTAGAAGCGCTAAACCCGTAGAACTCATAATGCGTCTTGGAAGTGGGAGGCGATCATATTCGATTCGAGGAATGGGAGGGGAAGGCTCCATTTCCTTGGATCACGACCCCACCAACATGAAGGGACATCCACCGCCCCACCCGTATAGGGATGCTTCCTTCAACTGAGGTTCCCCGATGCTGGCGAAGGGCTCTTGATCCAAGAAATTGGACTTGTTCTCCCCTTCCTTGCATCGAACCTGATTTCCTCCTATTCTACTGGATTTGTACGGCCCCTGCGGGTTTAGCAATTTTATAAACTTGAATTAACTTCAGTTGTACTAAGGGGAGAGAGCACAACTTTGTAGTAGCCACAGTCAAACACCTTTTGTACAACAATAAAGAAATGGAACAGACTACCTGCACATGTCAAAGCCAGTCATGGCTTGAACCAGTTCAAGAAGACAGCCAAAAGATGCCTAATGAATGTAGCGACAGAAAGGGAGGAGAATGATTTTTTTTTATTTGTTTAGCTAACACACATGCAAATATAAATAACTCATTTTACCTTATTCCTAGTATATCTCCTTTGCAATATAATAATAAGATATTATCTCCTTTATGGTATTGCAATAATAAGGTATTACAAGGACTCCCATGAAAATAAGTCACTTTGACTTTTTTTGGGTTATCCCAGGCCAGGTGGCCTGGTGGCTAAAGCTCCTGCTTCACACACGGAGGGCCCGGGTTCGATTCCCGGCGGGTGTAAACATTTCGACACGTTTCCTTACACCTGTTGTCCTGTTCACCTAGCAGCAAATAGGTACCTGGGTGTTAGTCGACTGGTGTGGGTCGCATCCTGGGGGACAAGATTAAGAACCCCAATGGAAATAAGTTAGACAGTCCTCGATGACGCACTGACTTCCTTGGGTTATCCTGGGTGGCTAACCCTCCGGGGTTAAAAATCCGAACGAAATCTTATCTTATCTTGTATGATAATCTATGTAACTATATTTGTGTATACCTGAATAAACTTACTAGCTCTTTCTTCATTACATATAACAATAGTTGAAGGGATGTTAATTTCACAGCATCTTTGTATATGTCTAAAAACATCTTTAGTATTAATACTTACTCGATAGTTTATTTTAATATCAATTAAGGCTTTTCGTAATTATAAAATATAGCAATTTTAAAGCGCTCTTTTATATATTTATTATTTTTAAGAAATAAATCTTAGCTAATTTAACTTTATCTATCAAAACATAAACACTAAAACGAAAAACTATGGTAGATTTCTTACATCATATCAAGATAAATAAAAGATTGAGTAAAATATTAAAAATCTCTTTTTATTATTACTTTAAAAAAAGTATAAGCAAGTTTTATTGTCAAAACATTATACTTGAATAATTTTTAAATTTCGTAATGAAGGATCTTATGCAGGTTGCTCAGTCCCGTGACTACAAATAAATTTACTATGAAAATTTGCGGTTCCTCTCTCAGTCTTTTCTTGGAAAGAGTAAATCCTCTAAATTAGCGCGTAATGCGCTCATTGATTATATTTGGCTATAATGGGCATAACAGACGATCAAGGATAAATTAATCCTTGGCGTAAATGGCCTCGAATGTTTTTGGCGGAAGTTCACGTCTTGAATGGAGATGGCGGGACTGGAATTTAAAATGCCACATTTATGATTAACATCACTGTGATTTTCTGTAGTTTTTGTTTTCTGAGTTAGCGGCGGGGAAGACTGAGGCGTTTAAATAATTTTAGAGGTTTAAAGTTGAGCAGGGAGTATGAAGAAGGCGCGAAAATAGCGCTAGATAAGAGGGTGTTGTGGTAGATGTGGCAGATGTGGTGAGTGCGCACCAGCAAGGCACTATGGGATTGTAATGGTGGGCGCGTGAGTTTGAACTCTCTCAAAATGCCACATAATAACCCCGGTAAGTGCCGTCCCCGGAGCGTTTGGTGGGGTGGGATGCATGAGTGCCGCCGAGCTAAGGCCTAGCTGTAAAACAATCCCTCAGAGTAGTGTATTTTCCGCCTGAATTGAAGGAGAGAAGGCGAGGTAAAGGCGGCCCCCGCCCGTGTCAACACCACCTAAAATAGAGATAATCAATGAAAACAAACCTCTTAATCTACGTATTTTTAGCCTCTGGGCTTCTTGAGGAGGTACAAATGGGGATTTCAAGAAACCATTCAGCATCATCAGTGGTGGGGAGCGTGTAGGAGGGTGTGCAAGAGGCCAGGAGAGGAGAAAATAGGGATGATATGGAGGGTAGTGTAGGTTGTGGGGCCGTCGGCCTAATGGGGGCGCGTCTTCCAAGTGTTGATGGAGGAGCCTGTCGAGTGTAGGCCTACTAGGCTGCCGGCCAGGGCATGGCCCTCTCTCTCTCACTCCTTATCCACCTCTTTACATGGTGAGAGCTCATATTCCAAGGGCTTCTGCCAAGTTATCCTCCCAAAATCTAATTTGGATCAAGGATAATAAGTTTTACTCTCTAGCTCTCTGTTCAGACAAAGTCGTGTACATATGTATTAAAAACTTTAATGTCAAGTAAAATCTATCTATAATTGAGTGATGGAATATATCATATAGTTATTATTGACATACGAAAGAGACATTTTATGATGACTTAACCTAGGATATTGCATCTTAAGCTGTATGACCCTTATGGGTTTAGCGCTTAGTTTTGCTTGTAATGATACAGTTAGTAAGTTTGTTCAGGTATGGGTACACACAAATACGGTCACATAAATTATCATACATATCTGCATATGTGTAGATTACCCAGCATAACCCAAAAAAGTCAGACAAGGTTAGTTACATCTCAGTTGAAACTCATGAGAATACTTCTTTCCTGGTGGTGTTTTTATGGAATTTTAAACCTTTAATGCTTAAGTAAGATTATTTAGATTATATACCTTCCATCTTTAGTAGGGATTATATAATTCCTTTTATTTACTGATTCTTTGTTAATTCTATGAGCTATAGTCAAGTCATTGTTTGTCTTGCCATCATATTGGTGGTTTATTTGTTGTCACTTCATTGTTTGTCTTTATGTTGTCACCATATTCTTTGTGTCTTTCAGTTGTCATTGTTTGTGTCTGTAATGTCATCATATTCTCTATCTTTGTGTTGTCACCATGTTGTTTGTCTATTTGTTGTAACCACATTGTATCTATACTTGTCACTATAATGTTTGTTATGACATTACTTGTGTGCTGTTGCTACATTTTGTGCCTATAATTTGTAATTGCATGTGTCTGTCACCTCATTGTGTCTTAATTTGTTGTCAACACATTGTGTCTAAAGTAGCCAAGTTTGCATAAAAACATTACTTATCCCAATCCTTTGTGATGCTTAAACAGAGACTCAAACATAAACATATTCTGCAAATGCATTTTTTTTCTCATATGGTGATACATTTGACAGTATGATAAGAAATAGATATGAAAAGATAGATAAAACAAGAAGTGGTAATGATATTGAACAATCATGTTTCCTTACACCTGCTGTCCCTGTTCACCTAGCAGTAAGTAGGTATTAGTCGACTGGTGTGGGTCGCATCCTGGGGGACAAGATTGAAGGACCACAATGGAAATAAGACAGTCCTTGATGATTCACTGACTCTTGGGTTATCCTGGTTGCCTAAGCCATTAGGTTAAAAGTCTGAACAAATCTTACTTTATGAAGCACTAAATGCACAGAAATTGTTCAGAGCAAGGACTGGGGAGGGTAAGAGGTAGGTTTGGTCCTCTATATTCACAATCACAGCCTGACCTGTGTGTGGCCAAACTATTGGTAATGAATAACCCAAGTGAATGGGTGGAAAAAATATATACACAGTAAACAGTGTTATCGTAAATGAGACCTTGTTACTTGAGGATTTGAAATGATAAGTGCAATCATTCAAATTCAAATTCAATTCAAATTCAAAGTTTATTCTCTATAAAGATTACAATGTTGAATTTACAGAATTTGGTTGTTGTGTGGTTTACATGAGGAAAACATAGGCTACACTGGCAAACTATGAAAGAACCTTCCAATAGATGGATGAATAAATGCTCTACTAAAAAAAATCACTTTGTACAGTAGTCCAAAATCGGATTATGCTTTTAAGAGTTATAAAAAAAATTGGTTTAAGAAAGTCAGAATCATAAGATCTTAAAAGAATGCAATAAGATAAAGATTTTTTAAAGGCTGAAACAAAGTTTCTCACACGGTTGTAAAATACTGGAATACATCCAATAGGAGTAATATATGGTATATACTACTGATAACTGTTGCTGTAAGTAGAAATAGGTAATCAGAGAGGAAGGAGAGTGAGAAAGATTATTATTATTATAATCAAAAAGAAGCGCTAAACCAAAATAGTGAGAAAGAGAGAGATGATGAGTGAATGTGTGGGGGGGGGGAAGGATGAGTGAATGAATGAAAACAAATGAGTGTCAAATCCCCTCTTTTGACAGTCCAAGAAAAGTCTTCCTGTCCTTCTCTCTCTCCCTCCTGGATTTCTATTGCCTTGTTATGAAACTCAGATGTTCGTGAGGCAGGTAGGTATCTGCAGATTGTTAGTGGTTGATGAGGAGTCCCCTCCTTAAATGTCATATGTATATGCTTACTGGTCTCTAAGCCTCCTGTTTGTCACCCTTCTTAGATATTGTATTGACTTATTAACATTGGCTATTTTGTTTTGGTGAGAGTTAGAGCCTGAAAATAAAACTTCTTGTTTTAAATTATGAGCTCTGTGCACAACTGTATGGCTTTCATCCCTCTTAGGATCTTATTACTGTATCTCTATTACTTGCCTATATTCAGGATGTTTGTGATGTTCCATTGAGTCTGAGATATAGTTTGATGGCTGAGTTTGGCTTGACTTGAACCCCCACTTCAGAAAGGGGCATTGAGGACTATACATATTTTTTTTCTTTGTTTAATTCTAAAAAAAAAAATGTCTGATATTGGTTCACAGGTATTGAGTCACAATTGGTATATACAATGGAACCCTGGTTATAAGGCCATAATCCATTCCAGAAGGTTGGCCTAAATCTGAAATGGCCTAAAACTGAATCAATATTTCCCATAAGAAATAATGTAAATACTACAATTAATCCATTCCAGACAGATTAACTATAGTTTTACATACAAAAAACAATGAGAACTAAATAAAATAAATAAATAAACATTTAAATCACTATTACATACCTTTATTGAAAAGACTTTTTGGATTATGGAAGACAGGGGAGGAGAGAGGGAGGACTGATTATTGTTTGGAAGGGGACTCCCCCTCCATAAGGACTTCAGGTATCAAAGCCCTCTCTAGGGTTATTTCCCTCCCTGCCTGCTATACTCCCTGCATACCTGCTACACTCCCTGCCTTCCTACTACACTCCCTGCTACACCCTACCTCCCTACTACACTTTCTGCCTCCCCACTACACTCTCTGCCTCCCTACTACACTCTCTGCCTCCCTACTACACTCTCTGCCTCCCTACTACACACTCTGCCTCCCTACTACACTCTCTGCCTCCCTACTACACTCTCTGCCTCCCTACTACACTCTGCCTACCTGCTACACTCCCTGTTACACTCCATCCCTCCATGCTACACTCCCCGCATGTCACACTCCCAGCCTCCCTGCTACACTCCTGCTGCTTTCATTCTTCTCTACACTCCCTGCTACACCCTGCCTCCCTACTACACTCCCTGCCTGCCTGCTACACTCCCTGCCTCCCTGCTACACTCCCTGCATGCCTGCTACACTCCCTGCCTTCCTCCTACACTCCCTGCTACATCCTGCCTCCCTACTACACTCCCTGCCTGCCTGCTACACTCCCTGCCTCCCTGCTACACTCCCTCCCTCCATGCTACACTCCCAGCATGCCTGCTCCACTCCCTGCCTTCCTCCTACACTCCCTGCTACTTCCTGCCTCCCTGCTATGCTCCCTGTTTCCCTGCTATACTCCCTGCCTCCCTGCTACACTCCCTTTTGCAACATTAGCTTCCTTGATTTCTACTTTCTTTGCCATGATGGAAGTGATTGTTGATTTGGATTTCCCATACATCCTGTCAAGTTCTATCACTTGAACACCACTCTCGTACTTTTCAACAACTTCTTTCTTAAATTCCATCATGTTTCTCACTTTCTTTACCAAAGGAACTTTACTAGGAACTTTCTTTGGGCCCATGGTTACTTTGCAGTTACAATTGACAAAAAAACACCAGAAACAATGGATAAAGCCGCGAAGTATTCTTAATCCAACGAGAGAGATGCGCAGACTGCATGTGATATGTATGAGGAAGAGCGTCACCAGTCGGTGGTGATGCACCTCATATGGCCTATATCTGAGAGCATGGCCGATATCTGGAGCAAAATTTCGCCAATAAAAGTGCTCGATTTCCGAATTGGCTGATTTCCGTGATGGCCTCTAACCAGGGTTCTACTGTACTGTATTAGTTTATTATTCTGTATTATGTATATCAGATATTGGCATTAACCTGTAAATGGTCCAAACATATATATACTTTTTACCGCTAGTGCCCCAAACGTATATATACGTTTTATTTGTCATACATTCAACATTGCCACAATAAGCCTGAGTTGCCTAGACATGAGAGAATGGGTGAGTGCACTCACTGTGTGCCATATTAAAATAATTGGGGATGCCTGGGTACCATAGGCTCTTTTCCTATTACAAAAAAAACGATTTTTTTTTTCTCAAAAAATTTGGGGCACTACGCGAGAGAACGTATATACGTGTATAAGTTTGGACCATTTACGGGTTAAATTTTAGGATAAATGATCTCAGTTTGAAATTATTTTATTTTATGTATGGTAAAATAATGCAGTAAAGTACTGTATTCTTGGTTGAATGGGTTTATATACATGTATCAACCTCACATACACTGAACTGATGTAAACATAGTAAATTTTGAAAGTTAATTTTTAATGTATGTATCAAGCTATTTCATTTAAAGTCAGTATAACATTGTTTTAATTTCATGGTGAGGGGAGGGGTTTCCCATTACAAACCACAAGAACCTACAAGAAAAAAAATACCTCTTTGATATTCACAATTAATAATGAACAAAAACCATAAATATGTAAAATACTGCTGATTATATGCAAATCATAATTTCAAATCTTTCATGTAATATCTTGCTTGGGAGGTCAAAAACCCTCCTTTTTTTTTTTTTTTTTTTAATTCCACTCTTCCAAGATTAATAAAATCATCCTAATTTTTTCAGAGCTCCAGACTTCAATTTTTTGTGAGTATAAATTTAATTGTGAACTGTGAAATTCACTTACATGCTGAAATATAGTGCAGGGCTTTGTTTCATGTGGCATTGTTGAAAAGATTTAGTTGCTATGTAAGTGAAATGCAGTACATGTATTGTTCAGTTAATGACATTTTTTATTAACATTATTATTGTCATATAAGTGGAGGAAACTGATAATTTACTTACAAAAAAATGCAGTTTTTGGAAAATCCAGCTATTTAAAAATAATATTTTCCATCCAGTTTGTATTTGAATATGTCTTGCTATTTTCTTCAGTTTTCTCAACTTTGGCCTAATCACATGCATACAGAGAATTAGTCTAATCAAAAGAACAGATTACCTTAATTTAATAATAATGAAAGGCTAAGTGAAGCATATATATTCATGGAGAAAATTAACAAAATCTTCAGTCTGTGTGATGTTTTTACTGACTGAAATTACATCAGCTCTTATAGCGCTGATCTTGAGGTTACATCATATGTTACACATCTGGTGTGGGTTTCATCCTGGGGACAAATTTGACCTAATTTGGCTGAAATGCTCTGTATAATAAGGGGCTTTTTGTATAGTAGTACATCATTGTTGTCAGTTAGGCCTGTATACATTGTACATGTACTTGTAGAAATAAAAGATCATTATTATTATTATTGGATATTATTGCCAAGTTCAGAGAGTATTCATATGATTCACATTTGTATAGGAACACTAGAATTGGGTGAAAAAAAAAGATGCATGTTGCCAAATCTCCTCCATACCCTTTCACGGGAAGGTGCCTTGATGCAGGTGAATGGCTCAAGATCCAAGGAATGGGAGCTCCTCTTCCCTTCAGATCTAACCTGATTACCTTCCATTTATCAGATGCTGTATGGCTCTTACCATCTTCGCACTTCTCATTCATATTTTATCCTTCCTTGTATTGTGTAAACATGCTCAGCTTTGATGGTTTTGGTTTAGGTATGTTCTCATTAATTGTTCACATTCAATTATAATAAAGACTGGTAGGTGTGACCCTTATTTAAGATATGATTAAATAGATAGTACTGGTAAGTTTTATTGTAGAGTTTGGGAGTCAAGAGTCGGAGTGCAATACTGGTGGGTTTTTAAGTGGTGGTTTAGAGTAGCAACATCCGTGGGACCAGTCTATTCACCACTCTACTAGAAGATATTAGAACACTGCTGGAAGAAGTGTAAAAGTCTTCAAGAGAAAGCTAGACAAATACCTCCACCAAGTGCTGGATCAACTAGGCTGAGATGGATATGTGGGCCAGTGGGATGCCAACAGCTACATCCTGAGTGATCAGGCATATACCAGACAAACCTGGCCCGGGGCTGGGCTGCAGCAGTAGGAAAGCTCTTGAAATCCTTCAAAGGTATATCACAGGGTTTGTTGAGTGCTGGTGAAACTGGCTAATTTTCTAGGAGAGTACCAGAAAGAAGCTTCATACCCAATGAAAAGTTTATTATTACTGTATTATATCCACGGAAAGTGCTAAACATGTATGTTATTCAACACCATATGGCAGGTGTGAATTGGACGATAGAAAGAAGTGGAAATTAATCAGTTTAAAAATCATGCTGAATCTTCATACTTTGGTACTACAAAATTTTGTCCCCTCGAGGGAGGTTCCTTGATGCCAGTGAGTGTCTCTTGTGTCAATGAAATAGACCTGTTCTCCTCTTCTTTGGATCGAACCCGATTACCTTGCATTCCCCAAGTTCTATATGATCCCTGTGGGTTTAGTACTTCCTCTAAATATAATAATATAATATTGTACAAAATTCTATCGGTTTTCATTTCTGATCTTTACAAAATTGTGAAGGAAAATATTCTGGACACTAGTTATTAGTAAGTGGATGACTACTATGTCTGCTGTGTAGAATGTAAGAAGAGCCATCAGGAAAACCTGTGATGTAAGGAGAAGTAAAGATCTAATTCAAGGATGTCATCGAGATGGGCGAATGTTGATATCCCTCATTCACAGATAATGTTAGTAATGGCAGGCAGATATGGATGAATAACTAGGCAGTCATTATGTTCTAAAGACTCATCTCACAAAGTCTTCAATGAGCAGATGAAAGCAATTAAATGTTCACTGGTGACAAGTTTAAATTGTTTAGGTGTGAGAAGAATGATTACAGTATAGAGAATGCAGGCAGATCACTTCATTAAATATAAGGAACAGGCAGAAGACTTATGAATAATTGTATCAGAAGAACTCTCATTTGGATAACACAATAAGACAAATGCAGCAAAGGCCAGGAAGGTGATGGGGTGGATTTAGAGAAGCAATCCTTTTCAAATCACTTATGCTTTCACGACCTGTACATTGTTCTGTTTTCACAGTGCCTTTCAAGGCAGGCGAGATAACATAGGTCATACATATACTGCGTGAATAATATCAGTAAAACATCAAAGCTGTTGGGGTTATTCTCAAGGATGAAGAAGAGAGATGCCTGATAGATACTCTGCATTCTGCAGTTTGTTTCTTAACTAATATTTTTAATTGTATGGCAGTACCTTATACTAAATGCAAGCATAAAAAACCCTTCAACTATATAGTCTTTCAGTGTTATAATCTAGTCTAAGTTTGCCAAAAATGTGCATACTATGGGCTTTCAAATTCTTGTACGTACTTACACCGTATTTATGTATAATGAATTTAATAAAATTATTATTTTTTACTCTTATTTTTTATTATTATTATTATTCTTACTGAAGTGAAAGATATGGGAGAAAGTGTGGAATAAACCAAAGGAAGAGCAGTGAGTGGGTCATGGGTACAGTAAGAGAAGTGCATTAACATCCATGGACCAAGACTCTTCCAGTATACTATACCAGCTGATATCAGAAATACTGCCTGAATAAAGACAGAAGTTTTCAAGAAAGCTGGACAGCTTCCTGCTGCATGTACCAAATTAACTGGGTTGTGATGGCAATGAGGGCCTGCAAGTATCTAGCACAAACAGGTTGGTTGACCAGGCAGTCAACCTGGCCTCAAGCTAGGTCACTGGTAAACACCCTTTCCTCTAGAGGAAATGATAGGGTGTACAGGAATGTCAACCTTTGTAGGTTTTTGGCTGTAATAATAATAGGGAAATATCAGGTTTAAGAGTAGAAAGACTCTTGAAACTCATCAAAGGTAAAGGTAGGAAAGTCATAGGAATGAGGTAGAGGGGGACAGATAATATAGAAATGCTGAACAAGTTCTGTTGCTAGTGCACTCAGCTCACACATTGAGATCCATGGTTTGATCCCCAGTATAGGTGGAAACTTTGGGGCATATTTCCTTAAGACACCTGCTGTCTCTCTTCACCTAACAGTAAAATAAGCACCTGGGTGATAGCCAACTGATGTGGGTTGCATCCTGGGGACAAAATTGACCTAATTTGCCTGAAATGCTCTGCATAACAAGGCTTTCTGTAAAGTAGTATGTCACTGATGTCAGCTAGGTCTGTATACATTGTACAGTGGAATCTTGGTTTTCGTTTACCCTAGTTTTTGTCGAATTCAGTTTTTGATGACTGTTTTCGTCAAAATTTTGTCACAGTTTTCGTTCATCACCTCAGTTTTCGTCTGCCGTACCAAACGTGTTCGCCTGCCTGCATCCACACAAAGCATCCCATGCACGCATTGAGTCAGTCTGGCTTTGTTTCTCGGTGAGTGAACATTACCCTGCTTGTTCATACGAAACATTTCATAATCCACTGTTTTTTGTGCTTGTTTATTGAGTGCAACTGCTAAATAAGCCATCATGGGGCAAGAGAAAGTTCCGAGTGTCACCCCTCTCATAAAGAAGGTGAGAAACACGATAGAATTGCTTCGGAGGAGGAGGAGGAGGAAGAGAGGGAAGAATGTGCCTTCTTCAGTGATTAACCCTTTGAGGGTCCGTCCCGTAGATCTACGGCTTTACGTTCAGGGTCCAAACCATAGATCTACGTCATGAGCTCAGCTCACTCTGATCAACTGTGAGCGGTACATTTGGGCCTAGATATGAGAGAATACATCTATGTGGTATGTGTGCACCACATAAAACAGATCCTGCAGCACGCTGTGTATAATGAGAGAAAAAAACTGAAATCATGATTTTTCGATTAAAACAGCGAATTTGCAGTGTTTTTTCATATGTTTTTTATAGTTCTATTTGCGATTTCTTGGTCTCATTTGATAGAATGGAAGACATATTACAGAAATAGAGATGATTTTGATTGATTTTAGCACTGGAAATGGCTTGAAACTGAGCTCAAAGTAGCAGAAATGTTAAATTTTTGCCGATATTCAAGAGTAAACAAACGACCCCACACGTCTAATACACGCCAGCTGGTGGGTCTAATATGCATTCACAAATATGGTGATGATATTTATACAATTATTACAGTATTGCATAACAGTAAATCTTCTATTTTTTGGTGTGAATAATAATTCATTATGTGAATAAAAAATCAAAATGGAATTTATTTGTAAAGCTTCAAAACGTAACTAATGAACAGAGGAAATGTTAGTTTAGTTCCAGGAATACCTGCATTGTTTATTCTGGACCCTATTTTGAAATTGGAATATTTTGAATTTTGTGTTAAATTGGTCAAATTAACAATTTCCGATCACTTTATTTTGTAGTTGAAACAGTTAATTTGGCGATTTCTTGTGCTCAATCGATAGAATAGAAGACATACTAGTGAAGTAGCTAAGAATTTGGTTGACTGGAATAATGTAATTGGCCTAAAATGGGAGTCAAAGTCGGCAAAATCGCCGATTCGTAAATATCACTGACACATCAAAATTTGCGAGAGCATAATTTCGTCAATTTTCCATCAAATTTCGTACTTTTTGTTTTATTACCTTCACAAAAAGATTCTCTACCATTTCATAAGAAAAAATAACAAATTTTTTTTTTTTAAATTCTTGGACACTGGGGCACCACTTCAGATTTGGGCCTTGGACCCTGAAGGGGTTAAGGACATGTGTGCAAAGTCTAGTGAGTTGCAAAGTT